CTATATCTATATCTATATCTATATCTATATCTATATCTATATCTATATCTATCTATATCATCTATATCTATATCCATGGAAACAGATCCTCATTGATTTCATCCCTAAGGAGTCAATGATTGTGCCCACATCCTACTTCCTGACCACTTCATGCAGCATAACACCTGGTGTGGAAGGAGAGGTCCCTGGGGACAGTGAGTAGGACCCCAAGGAGGCCCTGGTTCTCTGAGGGCACAGTCAGCACCTCCTCCCAGGAGAAGCCCCAGAGATCAGGACCTCCCTCACCTCTTGCCCTTTGTATGTGCAGACACCTCCCATATGCAAATGCCCACAGGACCACCAGACACACACACAGTTGGCGTCCACTTAAATTCAGGGCCGCCACACCCTGGAGAACACTTTCTGGGAGACGAGGACATCACCTGCAAGACATGACTCCCATGTGGCTCTTCCTCTTCCCGCTGTCAGCTCCCAGATGTGAGTGGCTCAGGGCTTAGGCGTGGGGAGATGGGGACCCTGCATCTGAGCCCAGGACTCACTGTGTTCTCTCTGTCCCAGGTGTCCTGTCCCAGGTGCAGCTGCAGGAGTCGGGCCCAGAACTGGTGAAGCCCTCGCAGACCCTCTCCCTCACCTGCTCTGTCTCTGGATTCTCCATCACAACCAGTGGTTACACCTGGCACTGGATCCGCCAGCCCCCAGGGAAGGAGATGGAGTGGATCGGGTATATAACTTATAGTGGGAGCACTAACTACAGCCCTTCCATCAAGAGCCGAACCGCCGTCTCCAGAGACACGTCCAAGAACCAGTTCTCCCTGCAGCTGAGCTCCGTGACCACTGAGGAAACAGCCCTGTATTACTGTGCAAGAGACACAGTGAGGGGAAGTCAGTGTGAGCCCAGACACTAACCTCCCTGCAAGAAGGTCTCTGACCACCAGAGGGTGGTCAGGGTCCCTGAACACAAGGACCATCCCAGAAGCAGGTGCATTTGGAGGTTTGGGCTGCTTCCTGTGTGATTTCCTCTTCATGTCACAGTTTCCCTCAGGGAAGCTCTGGATCCTGATTCTTTGCTGACGTCTGAGTCTGAGTGAGAAAGTCTGTTGTAAAGAGAGACAACTTTCTCCTGTGAACAAGAGGTTGAGAGTGTCTTTCATACACACTAGGTCTCTTTCATGCACACTTGGGCCATAATGAGTTTTATCATCAAATCTTCTGACCCACGTCACCTGAATCTAACAAGAGGCTCCAATGACTCAACAGTGCAGCTCCCCTGAATGCTGGACCGTGGGCCCCACATGTGTGTGACCCCAAAGCTGCAGAAGAAGGACCCACAGGGTGACAGTCCTGGTCTTGTCCTCATGCTCACAGCACCCAGAGGAGTGGACACCATGCAGAAGCAGAGGCAGAGCAGCTGGTACAGATGTTCATGACACACACTCACCAAGGGGACATGGATGGTTATTATGCTCCTGATTGAAAACCCCTGAGACGCACCGGAAAGATCACTCAGCAAGTCAGACCTGTTGGGATGGAGACTGGAAAGGAGAGGGCGCGGGGCTTTTATTTTGGTGAGGTGGTGGAGGAGGGGGAGGGGAAAGAATTCTGCTTCCAGGGACTTGTGTGGTTTCAATCTCCCAATAACTTCTACAAGAAAAACTATGGCCTCCTCCTTCCTGCCTGCCCACTGCTTTCCCTGTGGCCCCTGCAGTCCCATGCCCAGGTGAGCTGCCCCATGAACCTCTACCTCAAGTCCCTGCCACAAGCTGGGCTGTTGCCACAGCTACACCTCTGCTGTCCCCTCTTGGTCCTCATGTTGCCATGGGACTGATCAGGACCAACAAAAGCTCCAGCCCCCAGCGCCCAGGTCCCTAGCGCATGTGCAGGGGGCTGGCCTGGTGCAGCAGCAGCTGGTGCTCCTGGGCCTGGGGGACCTGTTCGCCTGGACCCCAGCCTGAGTGTGAGGGAGAGGACGTCAAGCCACAGGGATCGCAGTGCTTTGGAGGCTTTGAGGTTTGCGGGGACATGGTGCCTGCGGATCCATGGTGGCACTGCTCCCAGAGGGCAGCGCTGGTGGGTTCAGACGCGGGGCCTCCATGGAGGAGAAAGAGCAGAACAGAAACCCTGTGAGAACGTGGCCTTGAGGCCTAATGCACTGCGGACGGTGTGTGAGCGCAGTGATGGCGCAGCGTCTGTGTCAGCAGAGAGGGCGTTTGGAGATGGTAGGACCGTGTTTGGGTGGGTTTCCCCCAGGGGACCTGGCTGCTGCAGGAGCATGTTGTCTGCGGGCGGTCCCTGGGTTTCCCCAGAGCTACTGGAAGCGCTCAGGGCACAGCATGGAGTGGGCTGGAGGCCGCATGCTGTCTCCTAGGTGTGCCCAGAGCATGTCCTGTGGGAGAGGCTGGGGGCGGCGCAGTGTGGAACTAAGAGGACATGGTTCCATCCAAGAGCCGAGAAGGAATCATAAGCGCCTCCCAAGGGCTCATCCGAGGTTTTGGAGACGAACACGGACACAATGGTCACTCAGAGGCAGGAGGCCGAGATGGACATGGAAACCGCCCTGGGGACCAAGGAAAGGATGCAGAAGGTGAAGGCCGGGGTCTGACCACAGTGATGAGATGGAGGAGGCTCCTCCTGAGAGAAGAGTCAGGAGGAAAACATGCATCTGGGACTGACTTCTGCCCACTCACCGGGACCCCAGAGGCCCAGCGCTGCTGAGGGCGCAGCAGACCCACTGCAGGTCCCCCTCAGCAGGTGCTCAGCGCAGATGCCTTGGACCCGCATGGGAGGAAGAGCTTTCCAGGGACCAGAGCAAGGAGCATGGAGAGCCCCTGGCGAAGGCGGGGCAGCTGCTATCTCCCCTCTGCCTCTCCCCATGGATGCCTGCTGCCCTCACCCACCGCCCCTCCCAGGAAGGGGTCTGAGAAACTGCCTTTCCCAGCAGTGCTACAGGGGCGCGTGTTCCAGGAACCCCCGTGGAAGCCTTTTTGTTAGAAAGATGAACACCGTGCAGTGCGAGCCCTCAGGGGTCTCCAGAGTCTGGTGTCCCCGCTGGAGGCAGAGCCCCTGGGTGGGCGGCCCTCCAGGCCCTGGCGCAGCACCTGTCCACCCGCTCTTTTCTCAGCCAGACTTTCCAAGCACGTGGACTCCTGGACGCCATGGGCAGTGTCTGGAGGGCCCTTCTGCAAACAATGGCCACCAAGAACAGTACTCAGTGCCTGACCCTGACCCACTGGTGATGCTGTGCAGAGCAGCATCCAGAGGGCAGCATTGGGGGGAGTGAACGTGGTTAGTATTTGGGAACCGCAGGCAGCATCCTCGCCAAGGAAGACGGTGCCCTTGAACCTCTCAAGACCATCGCTGCTTCTGCTGGAGGGGCCAGCCAGGGCCGCTCGCTGGTGGGCGGGGGGGGGGGCCTGGGCGCCCTCTTCCATGTGTTCCTCGATGGCAACGAAGCTGAGAGGGCCTCATGCAGATGCATTTGTTACCTGCCCTGAGGGAATCCCAGCCAGTCTTCAAGATGACAATCATAAAGAAGGGAAGGCACATACAGTCCAGATCAGCTGTGCCTTCTCCACAATTGAAGATGCACTGGAGGAGGTTTGTCGCTTATCAAGAGACTTGAGAAAAGACTGGCTGCTTGACCCGTTGAAAGAGAGCAGTTCTTGTCCCCAAGTGTTCACCTCTACAGGGTCCCTGCTGTGTGCATTTCCGAAAGCCGCTGCTCAAGGTCTGTATCTGTGTGTTAATGTGAAGGTCTCAGACCTTGGAAGCCTGTCAGAACCCGTCCTTCCTGGAGATCTGGGATCAGATCGGTGTTTCTTGTGCGCTCTCCCCTTCAGTCACCAGAGAGGGGAGGCTGGCTGCACGCAGGAACCTCAGGGGGCGTCCGTGAGCCGTGCAGATTTGACTAATTTTTGCAAAAACAGGAAAACCAACGGCAATGCTTGGATGCTCTTTAAGTCAATATCATTTTACATTGGCTGGCTTTTTAACAAATTTGAAGACAAGCTTGATAAAAGATTTTTGGTGTGAAGTATATCAGTTATGTTTACCTTTTGTGAAGTGAATGAATTGAATTTGTTTTCCACTATTTAGTAGAATGTATGAAAGAGCTAATGAGGTCTTTACCACCCTCTATAGAACCAGATCAGATCGATTACTGCTTAACCTCACTCCTTGTTTAATTTGATATGTCATCAGAATTGAAGGAAAATATTTTTTAAATAACTTTTTAATAAAAGAGAATGAAATCTATGATTTCTTAACTGATTTCCTTTGTGTGGGGCAGATGGAGAAGCGGCAGCAACGAGCCATCAGTTGTCAGAAGTCAAACGAAAAAGAAAATAGACTATGGCCCCGCATTTTATATAGAACTATACAAAATGAGCAAAAATTGAAAAAAAAGGTCCTTACATCTGTGCTAAAATCACATGTAAAGAAAATGAGAAGAATAAGCATAAGTAAGAAATGATAGTGATAATGACATTGACAATGATGATGGCGGTGGTGGTGGCGATAGAAATGGAAAGGAATCTTGGTTCAATGTCTTGGTGGGAATCTGTCCTTTCCCACCCATCTGCCATCAGCTTTTTCAAAGGCCTGTGTCAACTTACAGTTGGCCCATTGTGGTCTCAACCCCTAATGGCATCTGAAGAGGAGGTGCCTGCTTTGTTTACTTATAAGAAGTCATTGTGTGTGGACAACCACCAAGTGCATAGAAAATTAGGAGAATGGTTATAAGTAAGCAAATTGTGGTGATGATATGTTCATGATAATTACAAGGAAGATGATGGACTGAGACAGGAGCCCTGGTCTAATGGAATGAAGGCTCCTCATACAGACACAGTCACCTTGGCTCCTCCAGTAAGGAGTGTGCACTCTTCCAGTGAGTATTGAGAGATTTCATAAATGGGACCCCAATGAATTATGCAACTTTGGGGATTCCTGGTGAGACCATGTGGTTTATCAACCCAAAGCTGTCCAAGTGGGAATACCTTGGGCCTGGAAAGGTGTCACCTTCTAGAACAGAGACCCTGTGAGAATGTGCATGTAGGAAACAGGGGTCCCCTTCCCACCAGTTCGCAGTGACAGGTTCCTTATTTTCCTTGATCCCTGCCTGCATGATCCTTAACGTTTCTACTTCAATCAACTCCTGCTCATCATTATTCAGGTATTTCCAATGATGACACAATCTGTCTCTCTCATGCCCTGCACTTCCTTCTGGGCCTTCACTGCAGGAGACTGTAAACCCACATGTCCAGTAACTCTCTGTCCATGAACATCAGCCACATTTCTGTCATGTGACTCAAATCAAGTCCAGCTTCATCCCCTCCCTGAGGTCCACAGTCACGTCCACATTTATGGGTAGTTTCCCAGCAGTGTTCCCCTCTGGTACCAGAACCTGCTCCAGTCCCTGAGGCTGCTGTAGCCAATCCACATGGGCAGTGGAGGCCCAGGATTTTCTGGGAAATTCTTCGTAAAATCACCCAAAACAGCACCCATCAAAGACAATAGTGATGAACTGAACTTTAATAAATACATTTGCCCCATCAAATATTCCATCAGTTAACTTAATGACAAGCTTGGCAAGAGAATATCTTTCCAAATCCTGTGCCTGACAGGAGAATGTGTGCATTACACATTAACGATGTTGTTCTTTTCTGTGAGAAAATGTATGCTAGGAATTCTCCAATTTCCCTCACTCTGAACCCAACATCACTGATAACACTAGACTGAAAAACCAGGTCACTTAGCAGGGTGCCATATCATTTAAAATATGAGAGATTCTCAATGGTTCACATGAATAATCACTGTTTTTATTTCTAATCTT